CGCAGCATGAAATGCACAGTGATGAATGCACTACTATACTCGACATAAATTATCATGTGTCCTCTCATCTAGAATCTCACATATTGTTGAAATTGTCCATCACTTTTTATTAAGTATTTCATTGATATGGAAATTTTAATAAGCGGGGTTTGAAGATATTCAGCTGATAAAGATGCTCCACCCTAAAATTGAAACAAAGAATGAGGTCCTTCTTACCTATAAATCTTTAATCTCGAAATTCCGTTTTTAGGCACGTAGGCGAATTCAGGTATTGAAAGGGTTGGCAAACCATTGTCTAGCCATCAGGAAGTGTTTTACATATTCGTCATGAATACCAAATTTTCCATGACATGTGAAGTTGAGTAAAATTTTCCAACCCGAGGTGCGTAGCTCAATGAGTAACCATTAGGTAGGGACACATTTAATCTGAATATACCCTTACAAATGATTACCCTACGCCTAATTACCCAGTCAAGCCTAGTGCCATCCGAGTAAACGACCGAAGAGGTCAACTGATGAAAAAGAATTGGTGAGGGATTGTCGTCGTGTGGAATTTTTCACTCTTTCGCAAACGTCGTATCGGCTATCATGACACACACCTATAAGAGATTTTATCTGTTATTCTTATTACTATCATTATCATTATCATTATCATTATTATTATTATTACTATTATTATTATTATTATTCTATTTTATCTTATTATTATTTTATTTTATTTTTTTTTTTTTTGAAACAAGTCAAGTTACATGATTTTAATCCACAAACAAGTTTTACGTATATGCATGCCATACTGTGTGCATTGTATCTTTTGAGTAAATGTCATTTGCCCACGCACAAAGTGCAAAAAGCGACTGGAATATTCCTGAGGTTGACCTGAGGTATCGCGAGATCTTTTTATTTGTGTTTAGGGAATTGAGACTACGAATTGGCGAAAACATTACTTGCAAACTTGTTTAAAAAGAAAAAGGAGCTGTCGACTAAATTGAGAAGCAAACAAACAAGATAAACAGGATGACCTGAAAGTTCGTAAAAAAAAATAAATCTTTGGATTCTAGACCATTACTTGGCAACAATCTTTATTTTTTGCAAGAACCAATTGAACAGGGCTTTGCTTTGATGCTCTCACGGATGTTCTCCTTTCGATTACAATCACGAATACCTTTAATGCAGGAAGTGACAGCATTCCTCCATCCAAAAATTTGGGTTATCTTTTTTTTTTTTTCCTTTTTTCAGGTGACCATTTATCGCGTGTTACTTAAATCTACTATTTACCGATGATAATCATCGTCACACATTAGCCATTGGCATGATAAACGTTAGTGGCAGGTATGATTTTATCAGCCCAAAACTTATATCGTTATATAAATACCATTTTATATGGTAAGGGCATTGCGCGCCTAGCCCCAAAATTTATGAATACAACTACATTAATAAACACAGTGTTAGGTCAAATAACAGCTTCTTGAACACAGCATGTTCGTCGGCGATAGGTTGTTGACATCAGAATTTTTCAAGCCATCACGCATCGTTCCTTGGTGCCACTAATTTTTCACAACGAGCGTGTGCCATGCATGCTTCTTCTTAATGGATGAGCCGCTCAACTCTTTTTTACTGTTGACGTAATGTTCAGAAAACGTTGTTTGCCATGCTAAACACTAATAGCCGATGGAATGCGTTGCGTACATACACATTCTAATTTTAGGTAACAGCATATTACAGGGGGGAGCACATTTCACAAATTGCGGGAAGAATAAAAATATTAAAATACACATACTTTGTGTGCTGGTAAAATCTGTCACATATCACACGCCCGAAGCTCCACCCGGAGATCCGCAAATATGTTTCCTACTTTAAATTTAAAGTGACGAATATAAAAAACAGAATCATGTGACCCAAGTTTTATTATAAATATAAGTGCCCAGAAACTTCATTTTCAGCTTAAAACAATTTTTCACCTTCAAAAAGAAAATAACAACATCTTTTTTATTTTTCAGAATAATTAATTCAAACTTCAATAAATTTCCCATGTCAACAATAGCCCTTCAACCAAATGCAATAGTACTTAGGCAAAGTCAGATGGAACAATTATACCCCGACGCTAATTATTTTGATCAACCCGAAGATTATTCTAGCGAACATTTTGACCGTGAATCCCATTTGAATACAACTTCTCCTAAGATAGGAAACGGTTCGATTCCCCATTTTGAGTATCTTTCTTATGATAGAGTTCAATACCTCTATGAACAAAGAAAGGGACACTTTTATTTTATTCCCGAAGGATTTGAGCCTGTGCTAGTGCCCAATGATTCCAAAGCACAAACTGTAACCAATCTTTTAGAGAATTCCAAACCAGTGTCAACAGCCCCAAACGTCTCGCGTATGCTTCCCGATAGCGATGTCCGTCTCCCGTCTTTTGCTCTTCCCTGTGGAGTTTCTAGCTCCGCGAAAAAGGAAAGTGCCATCAATGGAAAAAATGGCAAAATTAAGAAGCCCCCTAGACCACCCAATGCATTCATACTTTATCGTCGCGCCAAACAACCCTCCATTGTCGCTTTGCACCACGGAATCTCAAATAACGATGTATCAAAAGAGATTGGAAGAATGTGGCACGAGGAACCGGTGGAAGTTCGTAACAAGTTTCAGAAGATGGCAGAGGCCGCTAAAGAAGAGCACATGAAGAAATATCCAGAATATAGATATCGTCCTCGGCGTCCTCAGGAAAGAAAACGTCGGGCGCCTGCACGCGATGCAGCATCAAGAAGACAATCTGCCCCAGTTTTACCTCAAAACTTAAAATTGCACAATTCCCCTTCGTCAATGCAAAGACGAGTCTCTACCTCGTCGGCTGATGCTGAAAGTGGATACCTCTCGGATTCACAGTTGGTCTCCTCGTTACAAAATACAAATCATCAAGAGTTCTACACTCAAAGTCCAGAGACTGCATCACCATCCGATACATTTGGCCTCTTGGACAATTCCGTACCCCAGCAATATACCTACATCCAAAATTCATT